TTCCTAGACATGTGCACAGCCGTGCACATACACATAGCTCACTGGATCCTCAGGAACATATGGAGAGCTTTCCAAAGCTTCTTACTGCCATCTCATTCCCCAGCTATTCCTTTAAACTTTTTTTGGTCCGTCTATTATTAGCCCCAGCTGGTAACACTCCTCAGGCAGTTGCAATGTTAAACAATTACCACTGATTGTTTTAGACAAATGCCTTGGGAATAGGGTTATTTGCACAAATACTAGCAAACTCTTGGATCAAATAAAGACAAGATTCGAGAATGGAGTTTTTCAGCAAACTGCCAGACAAATCGAACAGTGACAATTCTGTGGAGATGTGGCTTTTGGGGACCTCAAGCCCATTCCACCTCTTCCAGCAGCTGCTAGGATGCTTGTTTTCACAGCTACCGTCATTACAAGCCTGCAGATTTTCCAGCTACCATGGATCTTGGAGAGAGGGATGGTATTATGGAAAATTAAAATGCCACAAAGCTAAGTGGTTTACTGAGATTCAGCCCTTTTACTTGAATAAATGCTCTGCACATTGTTGCAAACCTTTAGATATATTTCCAGTTCTGAAAAAGTTGATTTTGACAATTTTTTGGCATTGTTTTTATGGAGAAGTAGGTTTTCAGGGATTCTTGCTTGACTATTCTGGGAGTATTTCTTCCTATCCATTCAATCTTTTTTTTTTTTTTTTGTCCAAGCTATTTTTAAACTTTTTCATTTTATTGTAAAGTGACAATGTATATATTTATAGGGTACAACATGATGTTATAATTCATGAATGCAACATGGAATAATTAAATCAAGCTAATTAACGTATCACTTCAGATTCTGTGGTGAGCAGGTTTGAAATTTATTCTCTTAGCAATTTTGAAATGTACAATAGGCTATTATTAACTGTAATCACCATGCTGGGTGATAGATCTCCAAAAAAAAGTATTTCTTCTGTCTGAGATTTTGTGCCCTTTATCCATCATCTCCCCATTCTCTCCAGCCACTGTTCTACCTTAATAGCACTCTCAGGAGGTGAGATATCTCAGCCCTTGTTGCTATTGAAGAAGCTGATGCTCAGGGAGGTCAGGTGACTGACCTAAGGACACACACCTCTTCAGAACCCAAGGCAGGATTTGAACCTCAGTAAGCCTGTTTGACTTCAGTGTTCTGCACGTCCGACCCCTCCCCCAGGGCCCCCTTCATGCATCCTTTCCCTCCAGCCCTTAGCTCCCACCTCCATGCCAGCTGTTTATCCCACGAGTTTATTTAGGACCTTGCCTGTGGGAGGATTGCTCAGCTCTGAAGGCTGCACATAAGAAGAATCTCTGAGGAATGTTCCAAGCACTTGCAGATGATGGCTCTGCTCTCAGGTTGAAAGCAGGAAGGGAGGCTCTTCTCTCTGAGCTGGCATCAGGCAGACCTGTCACCTGGAGGAATCCTAAAGCGATGAGAGCATCCTTCCTGCTCTGCGCGCCACAGGACTGTCAGCTGATGCTGTCCCCAGGAGAGCTGAGACACGAGGGCGCATTACTCAATCACGCACAGGTCACGACCCTGGCAGAAATCCAGCCTACACTCCAACGACACCTTGCAGTGGTTCCCAATACTACCCAGATAATAAAGCAGTGAAATAAAAACGAGGTGCGTGGGCAGCAGCTCTCAGCTCCTCCAGGAAAGGAGGCCTCAGAGTTGAGTTCCTCAGGCACCGGTCTTAGGTTCCGGGTCTTAACCACGCAGAGTGAACGACACAGAAAAAACCCTGCCCTCCTGGGGCTTATGTCCTAGTCAGGAGGGGGCATTAATGGTGTGTTGGAAGGTGATACATGCTATATAGAAATGTAAAGCAAGGAAAGGGAAAGGGAATGTGTGGGAGGGTGGAGGGTGCAGTTTTTTAAACAGTGTTACCCAGGGAGGTCTCTTTGGTGTCCCATACCACAGCTCTTCTGACCAAGAAATTTACATTCGGGTGAAGGAAGTTTGAAAGTGGGCTCATGCCTTTGGAATCCACCACGTTTATCGTGTGCCCTATTACTCAGATAGGTGGTAGAATGGCCTCCTGAAGGCTCAGTTGTGACACCAGCTAAGAGACCACACCCTGTAAGATCAGGATGCTGTTTGACAAAATGCAAAATACATGCTTGAAAACTAAGAGTGGAGATGGGAGTGTTTCCTTGCCTGTTACATCTAGTAACCCACCCAGAGGAGTTTTGTTTCCATCTGTACAGCCCTGAGCTCGTTGGATTTTGAGATGATAGTATCCAAGGGGTTTCCTGTCATCCCAGGGAATAGGATCATGATTCCAGTAAATTGGAAACTGAGTCCACTTCCTGGCCATTTTGCGATTTTCATTCACCGAACCAATAGAGAGAGAGGGAGTTACTATTCTGGCTGGAATAACAGATTCTGATGAACAGGGGAAAATTCGGTGGCTGCTCAAAACGAGATCAACCCGGGCGTGGTGGCTCACGCCTGTAATCCGAGCATTCTGGGAGGCTGAGGTTGGAGGGTTGCTTGAGCTCAGGAGTTTAAGACCAGCCTGAGCTGGTTTTTAAAAAAACAGCTGGTATTTAAAAAAAAAGAAAGAAAGAAAGAAAGAAAGAAAAGGAGAACTGTGCATAGAACCCAAGGGATTCACTTGGGCACCTCTTTATGTGCCTTTATTCAGTAATAACAGTCCATGGGAAATTGTGGTTACTACTGAAGACATTGTTCCTACATATATCTTGATTTCAGAGGTTAGTTACATTGGCATATGTGTACGCTCATATAACAGAACCACTGAAATCAAGATGTAGGGCAGGTCCAGCACTCAGCTGTCTCCCTGTGCCCTCTCCCAACCAATCCCCCACCAGTGGTAACCACTCTTCTTCCTGTTCCTGAACTTCACACAAACCTATTGATACAGAATGTACTCTTCTGTGTCTGGCCTTTTTCACTCAACATTATGTCTGTGATATTCATCCATGGTGTGTATGTCCTTTCCATTGCTGGGTAGTATTCTTTTGTATGAATATACCATAATTCATGTATTTATTCTACTGTAATGGGTGTAAAAAGTTTTTGGTTATTATGAATAAAGCAGCTATGAACATTTTTTTTTTTTTCTGAGACGGCTCACTCTGTCACCCAGGCTGGAGTGCAGTGGCATCATCATAGCTCACTGCAACGTCAAACTCCTGGGCTTAAGCGATACTCCTGCCTCAGCCTCCTGAGTAGCTGGGACTACAGGTGCCTCCACTACACCAGGCTAATTTTCTATTTTTTGTAGAGATGGGGTCTTGCTCTTGCTCAGGCTGGTCTCAAACTCCTGACCTCAAGCAATCCTCCCACCTCAGCCTCCCAGAGTGCTAGGATTACAGGCGTCAACCACCACACCCCGCCTATGAACATTCTTATACATGTCTTTTGGTGAAAATATGTGCTAATGTCAATTGAGCATACACCTAGAAGCAAAATGGCCGAGTCGTAGGGAATATATGTGTTTAACATTAGAAGATAGTGCCAGTATTCCAGAGTAATTAAAACAATTTGTATTCCTATCTACAGTGTATGAGAGTTCCAGTCGATCTACATTATTGCCTACACTTGGTATTGTCAGTTGCATTAACTTTAGCCAATTTGGTGGATATTTAACAATATCTCGTTTGCTCTTAATTTGCATTTCCTTAATGAGTATTGATGACCACCTTCTCAGGTGCTCACTAGTCATTTTGATATCCTCTTTCATGAAATGCCTGTATTCAAGTATTTTGCCCATTTAAAAAGAAGAGTTGTCTATATTTTTCTTACGGTTGTGCAGAAGTTCTTTAAATATTCTGGATATGTCCTGTATCAAAAATATGTATTGCAAATGTATGTATCCTATTCTGAGGCTTGCGTTTCAACCTCTCTTAATGGGCTCTTGATGAGCAGATGTTCTTAATTTTGATGGAAGACCGTCTTTTATTTTGTGGTTGGTACTTCTTAAAGTACTCGTTTAGAAAACATTGCTTACTCGGAATCATGAAGGCATTCTCTTATGTTTCCTTCTTGAAACTTTATTGTTTTTATTTTTCACATTTAGGACTACGATCCATTTCAAATTAATTTCTGAGTGTGGTGTGAGGCTGGGGAATTTGTTCCTTTTATTGAAAAGACTATCTTTTCCTCAATAATTTTCTATGCATTCTTGACCCTGTAGCTAGAATTAACTTCCCTAAACACACATTTGATCATGCCATTTTCCTGCCTATCTTCAATGAGAGCCCATTGCTCCTTTGGATAATGATTAGTTTTTTGCTTAATGTATGTTAACAATACCCTGCTTGATCTGACCACCTCCTTTCTCCAGCCAAATCTTGTGTGTGTCTATCTTCCTACTCTAAGCTAACTGTAGAGTTCCTTGAACAAATCAACTCTCATCCACAGGCCTTTGCCATACAGAGCACTTCCATCCCCTTAGGCCGGTTACTCAAACTTCAGGTCTTACCTCCACAAGTCTCTGATTGCACAGTCCCTGTCCCTTAAGTTTAGGTTAGGTAACCTCAATATGTGCATGCGTTGTACCTCTGAGTTTGTAATTATAACTAAGTATCTCCTCCACTATAGCTTCTCTGAGGGAAAGGAGGAGGCCAATTTAGTCCATATGAAAGGTGCTTCCTAAATATTGCTGAATGAATGAATAAGTTTAAGGTGGGATCCAATCTCAGATCTAGCACTTGGCAAATGGATTAAAATTTCGGAGCCGCAGTTTTCAAATCTGTAAAATGAGGATATGATACTCCCTACATAGGATTACAGTAAGCATCAAATAAGATAATACACCTAAATATTTAGCGCAATGATTGGCACATAGACCCTTCCCGTATTAAGATGGGGGTGCACATGGACGGCGCACTCCCGCTGGCTCTTCCCCAAGCACATGCGCGGTCGCTGGCGCGCCCGAAGCCTGGCCCAGCTGCGCGTGCGTACTCGTCCGGAACCCTGGACCGGGCCGAAGGTGAAGGGGCGGGACGTCCGCCGCACGCCTGCGCCGTGAGAGGCTGTGCGCCGCGGGGGCGGGGCCGCGCAGGCGTGCAGGGCGTCCCGGCTCCGGAGCATAAACAAGAGCGGGGACGGGATGAGGCGGCGGTTGATCCCGGGACGGCGAGCGGCGGCGGCTGAGGCGCCAATCGGGGCCCGGCACCGATCCTGAGCGCAGCCCGACCCGTTCTCGCACGCGCGTGCACCCGGCCGGCCCGACCCACCCGCCCGCCGCGCGCCCAGCCATGAACCTGGCGAGCCAGAGCGGGGAGGCCGGCGCCGGCCAGCTGCTCTTCGCCAACTTCAACCAGGATAACACGTAAGGCCGGGCCGGGGTCGGGCCTGGGGGGGCGGCCTTGCTGCCCGAGCCCGCGCCGAGCTCGGCAGGGTCCAAGGCTCGGCCTCCCCGCGGGCCGCGGCGGGCAGGGGCGTCCCAAGGGGCAGACCCCGCGCCGGGACTCGGAGGGAGGGGCGCCCTCCTGGGAGACCCTCCGGCCCTGCCCTGGCGCTGCGGCCCCGGGTGGGGGAAGTGCTGGAGAGGGGGGTGTTTTCATCTGCTCACAGGGAGGCTCCTTCTTCAGACCTCACTCCTCACAAAGTTGTAGCAGAACTTCGTGGCTTGGCCTGTCGTCCTGGCCGCGTGTGGAGCGGTGGGAGTGGGCTGCTTCCTCTTCTCCCGCCTTCCCTTTCTTGCTCTGGCTTCTCCCCCCACTCTTCTTTTCAAGCCCTTCTTGTCTCCTCATCATCGTCTTGGGGCCCTTTCTCCCTCTTTTATTTCCTTTTCTTCCTTGCTCACTGTTCTTTTTGGCAGATAACTTTGTTGTCTTCTCCGGGCAAGGAACAAACTTAGCAATAATCCTGGCTTCCGACCTAGAGCGGAAACTAAGCTAAGAGAGATGTTACAGAGAAGTGCAGGAGCCTTGGTGTTTCAGGGGGTGGGTCGTCCTTAGGGTAAGAGAGTACCTTAATGCCAACCTATGGATTCGGAACATTGTCTAAACCGGTATGGGTTGGAAGCTGATTCTTCAGATGCTGCCTCGGATGACTTGTGAAGATAGTTAATAGATGGCGGTTCTTGGAGAACCAAGATGAGTTATGAGACTGGAAGGGAGGAGAGCCATCTTCAGAAGTGAGTAAGAGGAAGTGATGTAAGAGGAGGGGAAGAGTGGGTCGTTTGGCATTTTACTAAATAGTTTGATTGAGTTGTTATTGGCTGAAAGGAATTAAAGTAGAAATCGAGATTTTTTAAAAATTAGACGTTAATGGTAGAATGGCAGACACCCAGTCAGCGATATGTGGTGGGTGCTCAACAGCACCTTCCCAAAGTTGTGAAACTAGTGACAGTCCCACAGTGGGGCTGTGTTGAAGGTTGAAGGGGGCAGATCTCCTATTTCAGCTACAGATGAGAAACTGAAGTTTAGAAAGTTTCAGAGCTTGCACAGTTGATTAATAGCAGAATGGGCAGGAGTAGAATCTAGTCTCCTGAGTTCTCTTCCAGTGTTCTTTCCACTATGCCGTGTTGTTTTCTACCTACAAGTAGGATTCTGAAGACAGTGAATTTAGAAATCACAGTGTAGCAATTTTTAAAGATTAAAACTACTGAATACTATAATGTTCTATGTAACCAAAAGCCAGCATAACGCAAACAGTTGAGATCACCTGTTGCAGTTTGTTGTAGTTGGGATAGACTGTATTAATCCAGGTAGGGAAGAGGAAATTCCAAAGCAATTATGATTTGGTATTTAAGCTCTTAATATTTTGAGACTAGTAAGGAGTTGTTGTATTATGAGGTTTTATGCCTTGTATGAATGAATTAAAGAATTTCCAAAACATTTTCCACCACTCTTTAAGTTTTTTTCCTACTCATTATTTATATTGGAAGGAAATTAAACATAAGAAAAACTTAAATTGGGCTACCAAGTTCTCTGTATGATAGAAGACTGTCACTCTATTTGGCCTGAAATAGCACCTTTTCACCCTGGAAATTATTTGCTTACCCACTTCCCTATGAGTCCTGCAGTTTTTAGTTCAAGAGATTTGTGTCATAATTTTGACTTGCTGAAGAGACCTTGATACAGTGTAAACATAAATTGGAATGAATAGTAAATTAGGATTATACTAAAAGTTTACTGGGTTAAAATGGTTGTAATTTATTTTAAATTTACTCTTGAAAGAAATACAAAAATTCCTTGGGAAAAGCTTTATGGTTTTTTCCCTTCCTCATCTCCAGAATTGAATAGAGGAAAACAATTTTTAGCAAGACAAAGAATGTTGTTCTGGAATCCACATTTACTGTATTCAGTGAGAAAATTTGGAAGCCAGCTCACTTAATCCAATATATATATGTTACACTGTCGTGTCACTTTGTCTTTTAAATGTCTCACAACACAATATTCATTGCATACCAGACTGTAACTGTCCTGCTTTTCTTCTTGTAATATGATTTGAAATGTATTTTTTCATGATTCTCATCCTAAAAGTGTGAATAAGTTTTATTTGCTTTTGACCATCTGTGTTATTATTTATTTTTTTTATTTTTTTTTTTTACCTAGACCAGTGAAAAGGGCACCAAGAGCAGCTGGTCCCCGTCACCCCATGTTTACTGGTTAGTTCCGATCCTGGTTTCTGAAAGTAACACATTGGAAGGCTTATGTTGGAGGACTTCTTGGCTTTTTGAAATTGAAGTTAAGCAATTAAGTGGCAGACGATCACTTGAATCTTAAATGGAAATATCAGGGACTAAATTTTTCCAGTAGATACCACAACTTGTGGGAAGTTAGTAACGTGGCAGTGTCTGTTTTAAATGTCATTTCTAGAAGGGATAGAATAAAGAGAGGACTTGACTTTCTAAGTCTTGTGTTTGTAGAACTGATGTTACAAAGTGTCTGGAGACAGCAGGAGAAACCCGTCTGGATGTATTGCTTTCTTCTACTGTGTCTCTTATAGTTCACAGCATTGTACCGGGAAGGTACTGCCCTGCTCTCTTCTCTCTCTTGTGTAAATTGAAAGATGGTTTTTAAGGATCCTTCAACCTTAAAGTGTTAGGTCATTCTGTCTGCTGTGCAGAGGGGATGTTTGAGGAGGGCAGGAGATCACTTAGAAAGGGATTACCCAATAGCAGTGGCCAGGGGGGAGGAGACTGATTAGTCATCAGGACCTGTGTGACCCACAGGATGTATACGATGTATTCAAGGGAGAAGTTAGATGATCCCCCCATTTCTGCCTTGGGTTCCAGGTGAACAGTGATAACATCATGGGACAAAAAATTAGTGAAGGATTCAGTTGGGGTCGGGGGAGAAGATGAACTCTGCTTGGAATACTAATGAGTTTGAAAGGCCTTAAGGATATCCAGGTGGAGCTCTGGGATGGAGAGGATCTGAGGGGGATGGAGGGACTGTCCATGCCGTAAGTGAGGATGCCGGGGCCTACCAGGTCTTGGCTGGCAGCAGCAGTTAGGTTGCTTCCTGTTTACAAGTAGTGTTGGAGTGTTACCACCTCATAATTAAGGTATGGCTCTTTTCATGAAGAAGATGATGAAAAGGGAGAGCCTTTATATACTAATGATTGAGAACAGGGTGGAGAAAAGGGAGTTAAGAAAATGACCAGATTCACGTTTTCATTTTTTAGTGGAAATCACTTCTCTTTCAGATGGAATGCTCATGTTTGAATTCATTGACAAAGACTTTCAGTTAAAGATGGTGGATCAAAACACAAGTGTTTATTTTGGCTCCATCCTCAAACCCTAATAAAATGTCAATCAATAAAATGTCAAAAATACTTTAAAAGGCTTAAACCCGTAGGATGGTGAGAATGAGAAGGAAGATATTAGCAACAAAATTTGGAAGCTAGCAAGTGGTAAAGGAAGCTGGATCTTAAGTTGCTAGTGGAGAAAGCAGAGAATCAACCTTGTTTATTAAACTGCAGAATCCCAGAAGGCTCGGGAGTTGGCAGTCCAGGGCAGCTCGAGAAGTGAGGCTGAGGGGGCTGTGGGATGAAGAAAAGAGGATTGGTTCAATGTGTGTTTAGGAAACACTCCTCCCTAGCAAAAGGCAGGCTAGTCTCTGGAGAGGGTAAAACGGGCTCTGGATTTGGACACCAGGCACAGTTGAAGGTGGGAGTGTGGTAGTAACTTTGAGTTGGGGGGTAAGCAAAGACATCTGTTTTTGGTTATGATTTTCTAGTTTTTCCCTTTATCAGTAAAAGATCCCATCATGTTAACTTAAAACCGCATAAACATTTGTTAGCAATAAGATTATTTATTAGGGCAAATCTCATCTGTTCTCTCCCATTCAGCTGCCATTTTATTATGTTCAGGCTAATCGTGGTTAATTATTAAAAGCACAATCTCCAAAGAGGAGTATGTGAACTTGATTGTTGGTGTTAAAATGAAGATATCAAACCTGTTTATATTTAATGTCATTATTTTAAAATGCTTATCTTTGCGAATAAAGTATATACTTATACTAAACTATATGCATATACATCTCAAAAAGTATTTGGAATATTTTTGTTTCCATTTCTTACTGGTTGGAGTGCACAATCAGTTTTGTAGACTGTGGGTAAAATTCTACCTGAGATATTTAATACGCTAAATCAGTTTTTGAACACCCAGAAGAACGATAAACTTTATTGGCAAAGCCCAGTTTTAACACATTCTAGCTGTATGGAGCACAGCTGAGAACCGGAGATCTCAAACTCAAGGAGCAGGTACTGAGGCTCATTAATTGTGCCCATGGGAGAGGCACTCTCTAAGCTTATTTATACATAATGCTAATAAGCTTGGTGATTTGGTTTCCAAGTCAACAAGAAGTTAGAAAAGGAGGGGGGCTGTTAATGATACGATGGTCATGAGGAAGAGTGACAACTGTTGACAAAACAAAGGCAGAAAAATATTTTTACAACAGTACTCCAGTCTGGCCATTTGCTGTGGGGCACATGAGACCCCCAACTCGGAAGAATCTGGCATCCCCTTGTTTGAGAACACAAGAAGGTACACAATTAAGGATGATTTGTTTTTTAAATGAAAAATGGTGGATTGGGGGAGATTGGTGCTTAAAAATAGCAACCCTTAGTTATCTAGAAAATATTTTCCTGAGCATGAGTTTCTTAAAAGTTCCCATTTACTGAGGTTTTATTTTTAGACTTCCTGGATATTTATATTGGTTCTTTTATTACTTTTCACAATATTTACAGGTAATAATAGTAAATTACTTCATTGATATAATAATTGATATAATTAATTCAGTATAGTGAAGAAGTAATTCTTGCAGAGAAGAATTATATGAGCTGGTAGAAAGAGTTTTGTTTCTGTTCTCCTAAAATGAACCAATGTTAATTTTAAATATTAATAGTGATTATAACAACTCCCTTCTTGGAATATTTCTTACACATGTTTATGAAAGAGTAGTTGGAAATCTCAAGTTTTTAATAGATGACATCATTAAAATAGCTCTAATCTTATCTTGGGGTACAAATACTCATAGTATGAAATGTCTGTATTGTTTTCTAGTCTTCTGATTTATCTACTTGTTTTCATATTCTCCCAGAAATTAAAAACAAAAATGATCCTAGTATTTGATTCCTCCCTTGTCCCACTGCTTCCTGCTTCGTTATCTTTTCTTTTTCTGAAAGCTGGACTTTCTTCTTGCTTCTGCTTTGGTTGGTCAGTTGCGTTCTGGAGAGAGGTACTTTTCTGATCAGGAAATCCTTCATTTAGTGTCACGGGTCCCCTGCGCTAGGAGGGCTGTGAACGCTTGAGTTCCTTGAGCCTCTTAGCAGAAGCAGTGGTGTTGGGTGATGAATATGGAACCTTAAACATGAGGCTATCAGAGTGGATCCCTTGCTTTTTCCTTACAAGCCAACGATGTGGCCTTCTGATTCCAGCTTCTAAGGTAGCTTTTTGGTCCATTTCATTTCCATCCCACTGCACAGCCATAGCATGACGTAAGTGATGGAGCCATCGTTGATAAAGGCCTACCAACATGCATGTGTATCTGCAGCTGCCTAGGTTATAAATATCTTTGTTTAAAATTTAGAATATTAGCTTTCTTAGCTTTCCAACTCTCAGACATACACTGTGCATGTATATCAGATCACCTGAGAAGCCCCAGTTTGTTTTGAAGGAAGCAGTAATTTAGGGCTGATTACTTTCATTTATATCTCAAACTTATCTTTGAAGTTTTATAGGGTTTTTTGTTTTTTAATTTTTCCCAGCTTTATTGGGGTATAATTGACAAAATTGTATATATTTAAGGTATGTCACATGATGTTTTGATATACATATACATTGTGAAAGGACTACCACAATCAAGTTAATTCATATGTCCATCATAGTTACCTTTTTTGTGGTGAGAACACTTAAGATCTACTGTCTTAGCAGATTTCAAGTATACAATACATTAACTGTTGCCACCGTGCTGTACATAAGATCTCCAGAAAAAGTTCTGTAGGTTTTAAATAAGAATATTGTCTATTTTATTGACCTGGTGGCATCTTGTACCGTGCACCTGGTACAAACTATGTGAAATTATTCTGTGTAATTTTTGGTAGGCATGCTGGTAACTAACTGGTAACATGGGAGCTAGTTTGTGCATTATCACTGTCTACATGTATCAGCTCTTATTTCTGAATTTGGCTTTTTTGCAGGTCCCTAGCTGTTGGTAGTAAGTCCGGTTATAAATTTTTCTCCCTTTCTTCTGTGGATAAGCTGGAACAGATCTATGAATGCAGTAAGTGCTTGCTTTATTTTTCCCCTTATTAAAAAAGAAAAATGGTACTTGAATTGGAATGCAGTCCTAAATTCAGACACTGTGGTTGAAGTCCAACACCTCTTGACCAGTCCTCTGCTTCCACCTTAGTCTTCCCAAGAAGTGACAACTAGTGAAAAATCTGTGAGTGTTCTCCCAGATCTTTCTCTGTGCATTTGCATACATATAAATGTACATATAGAAGTTTTGTTTTACGGTGATCTTTTCCAATACATGACATTGTGCTGTATGTAGTATCCTGTGATTTCTCCCCCTTTTTAATGCCATTTAAACTTAAGTTACTGTCATAAAGGGCTTCCAGAAAATTGAAAATTTTACAACCCCTGTAGGAATGATTTATTTTCCTGAATTGTCATTTCACGGCATCCGAGTAGCCTGCGTGTCAGGCAATGTGGAGTAGCGGAAGGCCATGAGCTTTGGCTTCTTGCTCAGTCCCTCGTGTCGTTTTTAGATGGGTTACTTCATCTCTGGGCCTCAGTTCTTTTGTATTTTTTGCAAAACAGAAATAATGCCTGCTTATAATATTGTTGGGATTAGAATTATGTATGTGTGTGCTTAATGGTGTATAAAATAGTACTTATGGAATAAATAGTAGTAGGTGCAGACCCTCCAATGAGACTGTGTGGAAAGCTCTGGACTCTTCCCACATACATAATTTTTCATTAAGATAATGGTAGATTCACATGCAGTTGTATAAAATAATACGGAACCCTTGTACCCTTTGCCTGGTTTCCCCCAATGTTAACATCTTGTAAACCATAGTATGATATCATAACCAGGATACTGACATCCGTCTCTCCTGTTCACATGTCTCCAGCATTAATTGTACTCATTTGTGTTTGTGTGAGTTCTGTACAGTTCTCACACCTGTGTAGTATTGATCAAGATCCTGGAGAGTCGTAGTACCATGAAGATCCCTCGAGTTACCCTTTTATAACCATTCCAGGCCTCCCTGCCCCGCCCCTCCCTAATCCCTGGCAGCTGCTAATCTGTCCTCCATTTCTAACACTTTTGTCATTTCAAAAATGTTAGCTAAATGGAAGTATATGACCTGTTGTGACTGGCTTTTTTCAGTCAGCATAATTCTCTAGAAATTCATCCGAGTTGTCATGTGTGTTACGAATTTGTTCTTTTTATTACCAAGGAGTATTCCATGGCATATATATGCCACAGCTTGTTTAACCACTCACCTGTTGAAGAACATGTAGGCTGATTCCAGCTTTTGGCTTTTGCAAATAAAGCTGCTATGAATATTCATGTGAGGTTTTTGTGTGAACCTAAGTTTTCTTTTCTCAGAGATAAATACCCAAGAGTGCAGTCGCTGGGTCACATGGTAGTTACATGTTAAGTTTTTAAGAAACTGCCAAACTGATTTCCAGGGTGGCTTTACCATTTTACATTTCTACCAGTAATGTTTGAGTGATTGAGTTTGTCTGCATCTTTGCCGGCATCTGCTGTTCCCACTGTTTTTTTCAGCCATTCTCATAGGAATGTGCAGTGCTCTCATTATGGTTGTAATTTGCATTTCCCTAGTGGCCGAGAATGGTGAGCATCTTTTCCTGCACTTATTTGCCATCTGTGTATCCTCTTTAGTGAACTGTCTGTTCATGGTTTTGCCCACTTTCCAATTGCATTATTTGTGTTTTTAGTGTTGAAGTTTGAGAGTTCTTTCTATATTCCAGATACTAGTCCTTGGCCAGATATGTGGCTTGTAAATATTTCTCCTCCTGCTGCATGCAACATTTCAAGCAGCCCTGAGCCTACCCGTGGCCCTGACCTAAGTTAGGAATCCTTGTTACAGGGACTGAGGAGGTCAGTAGTCATAATATCCTTCTCGTAATTAATCATACCAGGATATGGGTTCAGGGAGTTAATCATTTTAATTATCTACATGAGGTTTTGGGGAATTGGGTTTCCTCCTTATTGACAATGCCAGTATTTCTTTCCTGAGTTTTATCAACTTTTGCTTTCACTATGGTTTGATGTTCCATTTTGAAATTCTCCTTTTTCCATTGATACCTCTCAAACGAGGAGGTTCAGTGAGTTGACGTGAATAGAGGTCTCACTCAGTGTACGTTTATGTGCCAGCCCCGCTCTGGCTGCTGCAGATCAGTACTCACAAAGCTCCTACTCTCTTGCCACTTGGTTAAAGTGGAGGAAGACCAAAAGTAAATATATTTGTGTCAGATATTAGGCTCAGGGCACAATGGCGAGCAAACACAGACATAGATCACACCCTGTGGCATGAGATGAAGACACTGGGAGAAAGAGTGGTTTCTTTGTGCCACTTACTTGGAATTGTGGAGTTCTGGCCCATCAGGAGGTGAGGGGCCTTTCAGGTTCCCTCCCAGGACCTGACCTCCTCTCTTCAGGTGAGCGTTCAGGTAACCCTCACCTCCATCAGTGGAGAGTGTCTAACTCTTCCTGACCACCACCCCTTTCTTGTTGCTGCCTTCAAAGGCAAGCACTCAAGCCCTTTCTAGGGAGAGTGTGGGAGCAGAATCCTTATGGTCAGCACCCCTGACTCATGGTTCCTGCTGGCTGGCTAAGATTTTAGTCCTTTTCTTGTGCATAGACTTGCCTCCTGGTGCTTACTAAATCTTCCCAAAACCCATTCCTCTGCAGTGTAGGCTGGAAGATGTGATCTGGATGATAAAATGGGTGTGCACTAGTGCTTCGTTATCTCAGGTGGCTGTCAGTATTCTTCAAGGTCTCCAAACTGGCTGCCTTCCCATGACCCCACATGGGATTGTTCCTGCAGGGTATTTCTTCAAAGAAGGGTAATCCTACCTCTGGAAAAAGGGTTCCTTTTGGCTTTTGCGAATGACTGAAACATTTATTGAATCTGTATCCAAATGAAGTGCCTGAATTGTACTATTAAATTGTTGCTGTAGTTACTGTAGTCATCTGTTGTGAGGTCCGTGGAATTGTTCCCCCATCAGAGGTCCAGTGCTTAGAAAGGGTGTGAGAATACCAAAATCTGGCCTCTACTCTTCCTCAAATTGAAGTTTATTTACTGGCTTTTAGTGCCTCATTTTTTCAGAGGATTTTGATGGAACAAAATGTGATGTCTTGATAGCATCTTTTAAAGAGTGGATAAATAGATGAAATGGACAGAGAATATTTTGAGGGTTAATACTTTAAACTGCCGCTATTGCATTGTTCTGTTCCTAGAACATTATCTACCTTTCCTCTTTCACATACTTTTATTGAATATAGAAGATAAAAGAATGTCTCTTAGAAAACTAGTTAGCTACTGAGTGTCAAGATTGTTTTCTGGCGTTTTTCTACAAGTAGACTCAGCAAAGAATATTATTACTTCATGTTTCCGTATTTAGTTCAGAGTCAGTTTTGGCCTATACCCTCATAACTCCGAATAATCCATTAGAAAATCAGATCTTTGCTGTCTGTCACTGTTTCTGTTACAGAAAGAATGAGCCAGATCTGGTCTTACCGAAAAACATGATTGACAACTACTTGTTCTTCTTTCATTTATTTAATAAAAAACAAAAACAAACAAAACCCTTTGCCCAGCAGCATTGGAAGATATTTTCTGTCTATATTATTGTAACTTTGAACTTGAAAGTTACAAGAACTCGCAGATAATACTATGCCTATTGCTTATCTATGCCCCATATGTTTTCTCAGTCTTTCCATATGTTCATTTCTTGTTGTTTGGAGATATGTAATTCACAAATATGTGGTCTGTCTTTCCTAAAATGTTAATATTACTGCAACAGTATCCTACACTGTTAGGCAAAGTAAATAAAGGATATGGATTTATTATTTGTAAAATATCACAAAAGTTTAGAAGTTGGCTTTTTTCAGATTCTACATTGTGTATTTTCTTTGCATTTTCTGAGCCAGTAAAACATACCTCATAAAGCGTTCAATTCTGAAACCCAACACAAGCACATTATTCCTTAGCTCAGCAGAAGTGACTAAGCCTCCGTTGATTATAGAAATGCATCCATTGATATATAATGCCTTTTATCAGCTTTCTTGCTTGACCAAGAAACTAATCATCATTTACTTTACAGGCTGTCATCCGCATTTTAAAGTTTGAGAAATGGTGCTTTCTCACATTATTCCTATCTGACAGGCCAGGCACTGGTTGGCATATTAATTTCAGTGAGATTTATAGTAATGGGTCCTACAGAGGAGAATCTCTACTAGCCTCTCTCTGTCTAGATCTGCTGTGATGGAGCATCGGTCTCCTAACTCGCATCCCTGTAGAGCTTCAGGCACATGCGGAAGTGGATTATATCAAGTGGATTATTTATTGGCTTCCTCACCTTCCCACTTAAGGAGTTTTATCATGGCTAGCTATAAACAGTGCCAGCAGAAGCAAAGCATTCTTTCTTAAATCAAGTAATTAATTTCTTAAATTAAATTTTAGATAGGCAGTCTCTAGAAAGAAAGTTTGACAGAAACTGTGGCAGAAGCCACCTAGAATGAGTCCTAAAAGCGAGGCCTTAGTGATTGGAGGTCACTGAAGTTTATGTTCAGACTTTTTACTGTCAGCCTGAGTGCTTCCTGGCACCCGTGTCCTGGTAACATGCCATCTTGAATAATTACAGAAGTGCAGCCTGGTTTCTTTTGCTTTTCACTTGATTATAGTGTCTTTCACTTAGCAGCCTGATTCATTGTCTGCCATTACTTCATGGGAGGGCTGAAATGTCTGTGCTTCAGTTTAGTGGAAAGTGATTGTTCTGGGTATGTGGATTCCATGTATGTTTTATGTTTAAGCGTTCTTCTGAGTGTGAAGTGTGATAGAAAAATGTTAGAGCTTGAAATAATGCAGTAGGAAAATGGCAATCAATCTAAACCACTACCAATATATAAAAATAGGTTGCTTTATGAAAAGTGTATTCCTGAAAAGAACTAGGCAAATTGATTTGTAGGACTTAAAGGCACTCTACAGTGAATCCTTTTGTGTTGTGGTTATTGCTGCTTGTAAG